TAGATAGATAGATAGATAGATAGATAGATAGATAGATAGATAGAATTGTTAAGCGAATCCCTACAGTTGATCAGTTAGCAACGCAGTTGTTAAGCAAATGTGGCTTGTCAGACGGTCACAAATGGGGATCACGTGACCCCCAGGGGACGCTGCGACCGTCATAGTTATGAGCCAGTTGCCAAACGTGTGGGGAGGCTGCAACAGTTGTAAGTGTGAAAAACGGTCACAAGACACTTTTTTTCCAGGGCCCTTGTCACTTTGAACGGTCACTAAACGGATGGTCGTAAGTCGAGGACTGACTCTATCATGTTCTTCGTTCTATTGATCCTAGTTTGCAGGCTCAATGAGTTGGAATTGTAAATGCAGCTCTTCGCTCTCCCTTACCCTGTAGATGAAAAACTCTCTGAGTGAGGAAAACTGCGTAGATCAAGGGCCGGTTCCTGGGAACACTCCCATATTGTACATCTGTCATGGATACAGCCCACAGGTAAGACGGCGTTGCACTTTTTCTGGAAATGCCAAAACAGTGACGAAAATGCTAATTTCACCGAACGTAGAATAATACGGTTGCCAGGGACCTTGGAGGTCTTCCAGTCCAGGAGTGTTCTGCCCCAGCTTACATGAGTCCTTGTTAAGCTCACAAGGAGAAACCCTCTACCAACAAGCAGGCTGGAACTGCAGGAAAAAACCAAACCCCTTTTATTATTCACAGACCTGAGTCAATGTCCAAGGCGAACAAATACAGTCCACAGAAACTTGATTCCTCAACACAAACGGCTGCCTTCGGCAACCAGCACCTCCCACACCTTCCCTTTTATAATTCAGCCAAGGCATGGCTTCCTAATGCCTTCTCCTTTGCCTTTGGAGCCGCCCCATTGCATTCCTCTGTCCTACTCGCTTCTCTTGCCTGCGCAATCATGCATCCTGGATTTGTCCCAGCTGTTCTTCATCACTGTCCAACTCAGGTCCCAGCACAGCTGTGTCTCAGCCTGAGCGCGAGTAGAGGGGCCAGGCTCCTCCTCCAACTGTAAGTCTTGGAGCTCCTCAGAGCCTTCCTCTGACTCTGATGTCATTCCAGGCCCCCCTCCTCCTCCTCTGATTCCTCAGACTCAGCTGCCGAGTCCACTGGCTGGCGAGGAATCACAACGAGTCCCCAACCTATGGGTCACGGCCCACTACCAGGTCGCGGCCTCTCCTCCACCCCCCACTCGCGCTACAGCCCATGGCCCCATTTGCAAATGCACGCAGGAGAGAATGGGGCCGCCAGCACCAGGTGGGTGTGCATGGCCTGTTTGCACATGCGCAAACGGGACCATGGCCCTTTTACGCATGCAGAAATGGGGACACTAGTGCAGGGCGGGTATGTGCGGCCCGTTTGCGCATGCATGAATGGGGACACTAGTGCATATGCGAATGGGACTGCTAGTGCAGGGCGGGTGTGCATGGTCCATTTGCGCATGCGCAAACGGGACTGCTAGTGTGGGGCAGGTGTGCGCGGCTTGTTTGTGCATGCGCGAATTAGTGCCAGGTGGGTGTGCATGGCCTGTTCGCGCACATGTGAACAGGGCTGCTAGTGCCGCGCTGGTGTGCGCGGCCCCGTTTACGTGCACACGTGCACCAATTTAAAAGCTGCTCTCCTTCCCTCCGGGCCATGAGCCCGGAAGGTTGGAGATCTCTGTTCTAGTCTAACCCCCTGCTCAAAGTAGGAGGCTTTGAACGGTCACGAAACGAACGGTTGTAAAAGCTGCGGACACCCTGTATTTCCAGCACATGTTCTATCACAGCACTGGAGAATTCTTTGTGGGAGGTTTACGATCCCAGCGCAACTCGGTTGACAGATGCTTGACAGACCCTGGAGAAGGAAAGCTGCCAGTCATTGAGCAGTGTAATGAAGCGAAGAAAAAAGGCCTGAACATGCTCTGGGATTTCACCCAAGTAAGCGTTTAATTGAGGGAGGCCTGGTGGCGCAGTGGTGGGAACGCGGCATTGCAGGCTAACTCTGCCCACTGCCAGGAGTTCGATCCTGACTGGCTCAAAGTTGACTGAGCTTCCTGTCCTTGCGAGGTCGGTAAAATGAGGACCCAGATTGTTATGGACAACATTCTGACTCTGTAAACCGCTCAGAGAGGGCTGTAAAGCACTGTGAAGCAGCATATAAGTCTAAGTGCTGTTGCTATGGCCATCTAAGCCGTGGTGGCTTAGTGGTGAGAATGCAGTATTGCAGGCTAACTCTGCCCACTGCCAGCAGTTCGATTCTCAATGGCTCAAGGTTGACTCAGCCTTCCATCCTTCCGCAGTCGGGCAAATGAGTACCCAGATTGTTGGGGGGCAATTGACTGACTCTGTAAACCGCTTAGACAGGGCTGTAAAGCACTGTGAAGCGGTATATGTAAGTCTAAGTGCTATTGCTATGGTGTTGACGCAAAGTAAAGACGGGGATACACTGAATAATAAATATTTACAGGCACTGAATTCGATTATGTGCCTTTTTTTAAAAAAAAAAAATTAATACTACTTTTTTTTTTTTTAATCCCAGGGGTCATCTGTAATCAACAGGAAAACGAAAAGGTGTCTTGAAGTTGCGAAAGATCACGGCTCTCCGTACTATGCTCCAGTGATGCAAAACTGCACAGGTCAAAAATGGTTTATTCAAAATACTGTCAAGCCATGGGGGAAGCAGCCGTAGGGCAGCGGCTAAACCGTTCTTCAATTCAAAAAGGGAGCAGCGGGGTAGGAGAGACTAATGGGAATAGTTTGACCTGTTTCAATAGGGAACGCATGGGAAGATTACTTTTGATTCCGGTGCGTGTCCCCCACGTACGACCAATGTGCAGCCCAAAATTTCTGCTGCTAAGCAAGACAGTCGCTAAGTGAGTTTTGCCCCATTTTAGGACCTTTCTCGGCACATTTGTTCCTTCGGAAGAGGAAAGAGACTTCCAACGCACCAAAACGCACGGCGTCCCTAAGTTATTATCTTAACTTTCTCTTCCGTAAACGAAAGACTTCTCTTGAACCATTTTCACGAACGCTCCATCCCATTAATATAACAGTTAAACTTCCCACTGGAATAAGTTGACCGACGTTTAATGTTTTATTTCGGAACACCAGTCAAGATGCTAAGGATTTCACTGCTTCCCTCATAAGTGAGTTCACTATGGATTTTTTTGGTCCTAAAATTAAGGTTGCACATCAGATGTAAGCTAAGGGGTAATTTGGGGTAGGTTTTTCCCCCCCCTTTCACTTGAGGTGGGGTGGACAGGTTGAGTGGGCTCAATCCAAATCCTTCTTTGACCATCCATTGCTTCAGTCAGGAAGCTGTCAAGCGCCAAGGAAATCAGGAAACCATATAAGGATTTATTGAAGCTCACTCTACAACAGTGGTGGCGAACCTATGGCACGGGTGCCAGAGGCGGCACTCAGAGCCCTCTCTGTTGGCACACGCACCACCGCCACCAGCAGCAGGTCCATCAGGCCGCCACTGCCGCCCAGAGCAGGAGCCCTGCCCAGCACAAAGGAGGCGAAGCGGCCGACTAGCAAGCTCGAGTAGAGATGGCAGAGCAGAGGTCACCAACCATTGTCGATTGGTGGACTGGAAGAAAAGGGAGGGGGAAGCATTTCACTTCCGTGCATGCGCACACGGCCGCAAGCACGCATGCGCTGCAAATGGGGCGGGGCTAGTGCCTGCGTGATACTCACTAGCCCTGCCCCGTTCTTGCATGGTGCAGCGCCTTGTATCTGCACCCTGCGGCGCAGCGGCAGCCATTTTTGCACCTTGCAGCATGGTGGCCCGTTTTTGCGCTCCCGGTTTTTGCATGCCGGAGGCGGCACTCAGAGGCGCCTCCCTGCCCCCCTCCCCCCCGAGGGCACCACAATGCTGATGTGGCCCTGGCACTTTGTGATAAATGGGTTTTGGGTTGCAGTTTGGGCACTCGGTCTCTAAAAGGTTCGCCATCACTGCTCTACAAGAATCTGAGCTACTAACAGCCAAAGGGAAATTGGCGGTAGATAAGAAGCCACGGAATTCACGGTGGTCTGGACTGAGATCCCTTGTGGGTCCGAAGGGACTCAAGACTGATGACACATTTAACCCCCCACTCCCTCGGGTTCAGCCTGGTCATCTCCTACAGCAACCTTGCATTGACTTGAATTCCCACAAGGCTGTATCCAAATCAGGGTTATATGCGTGAATAAATTTATCACAATTAGTCAGTCCAAGTCATCGTAATTTAGGAAAGGTCCCGGGTCCTTGGAAGACGAAGCCTCAGTTTTTACCTTCCTTCTATTTCGTTGTTGCCTTTAATGTGAAACTGTGCTTCACATTCAATTGTTAACAAATAATAAAGATGGTTTGTATTTTGTGAAATTGTGTTGGTATATATTATTGGGGACATCATTGTCAGACAAACGGGTGCAATTATTACATCTACATCCTGAAGCTGTAGTCTCTCCCCAAAGAGTATACATTTTTATGGCATGCGGAAATGACCTTGGAAGATAGGAGGAAGGGCCACAGACTAGGCCACAATCAGAGAAGTGGCAGCTAAGCTTGCTCATTTGTGAGAAGTCTGGATTGATTTCTCTGATGGTCCATTTCTTTTCTGAATTCTCTCCTGAGCCTCAGGAC